AGAAAGGGAAAGGTAGTAAGCACCTTCCACCATTGACTTTGCGGACACATGGATGGCAGCTGTCAGTGGAATGCTAGCGGGCATTTGAACACCTGACGGTGAGTACTCAAGTGTACACCGCGTTATAGATATCCAAATGTTTGAAACTCTTGTACTATACGACTCTCTCGGCTGTCTTCGAAGCGCTTAAAGAAACATAGGAGGGTGAGAAAGTGGAGCGTGTATGAAGCTGCAAGAACTAACGCCCCGGTGGTCAGCTACGTCGGGCATGTAACTGACACTTCTGCCGTTTTCCATGACTGAAGCGCGTGGTATCATCAAGGACTTTACACCTGTAGTCTTGTCTGTCCATGGTGAAAGATAGCACCATGATAAAAATTAAGATCAGACCACCTCATACTGGTTTCGTGCAGCGGCACGTTGCGAACTTTCCACTTTTCATGAACCCCCTTTCAAAGTCCTCTTCTTATAACATATTCCTATCTACAGAGTGGTAGAGATATCACCTTTCATCTGCCTCCCGAGCAAGTGATTCATCCGGTGCGAGAAGGTGATGATTTGTTCACGTTGCTTGCGCCGTACAGTTTCCTTTTCTAACGCAACACCCGTTTCCGGCGTTCCCCGTTTCGGTGTGCTGGCAATTGGCCTGCTAGTTCTTTGCTTGCTGTGTCCAAATCCTCAAGGCATTCGGTGTGCTGTCAATGTTGTCAGAGTAGCCACGTCGTTCAGCGGGTTTGTGTTGTTATTTGGGTTGCTGACCACGAGATTAACGAGACGATGATCAGATTTGTTTGATTAGATTGTCTCCGGCTCGCGTCAACCTCATCGACTTGGATGTCGCTAGCTCCAAAAGAGCCTAAAAGCCTAGAAGAAAATGGTTGACTGGGCCTCTTCCAAGATAGCTCCTTTGGTCGACTTCAAGAATGTGGATTTGAGGATGAAAGGGACAAACGCCTCAGTGCTGGGTATGCTACTCTTATCAGTCTCGCTTGAAGACATATTTTTGTTTAATGCATAGAAGCCTTGTCAGAAAGGGAATGAGGAAGGCTTATCTGAGCTGGCTGATGCCGTAGCGAACCGTTATTTGCCTTCTCGGGATGGCAGATATGGTACTTGTCCCCTTCCACACAGCGGCCCGAAACCCTAGCTCGGAGAACAGTTACTTCCGACTTCTTGCATGGAACACTGCAAACCCATCGGACGCCGATATGATGAGGCACGTCAGTAGGTATTCGTGTCTGCTACAGGGCTGCATGCATGTGATATCTCGCTATGTATTAGCTCGCTTGGCCGTTCCATCCTTGCGAAGCGGCGCAAAAAGGGAGATAGGGGCGCAACCCATAACTGGTAATCCGACAATTGATGGATACCCTAGCTCGGTAGTTCTGCTGTGTAAGGCGGCAAACCTCATCACACTCGCTGGTGGAATAGTATCTCACGGCTCGGATATGGGACCGGTAGGGGCTTCTGATGAGGTACTTAGTCATTTTGATGCGTGTAGGAATCCGTTGATGTTCCGATGCTGAACGTCTCGCCAGAAAAAAAGAGGCAAAAACGGACGGAGAGATGTTGATAGGGCTATAACAAGCGTGTCTCCCCATCGTATGGACCCCTAGAAAGTGCCAAAACAAGATATTGCGAAATATCCCAGTACAACTGCTTGTACAAAGTAGTCCTGGAATTTGAGTAATCACCAGTACAAGGAACCCGTGCGCGGGGTAATGTCTTGACTTGGTTGATTTCCCATAAGGCAGACGAAAGGAACGATGCCCAAGGGTGTGTACGTTGACGGCTGTTCGAGTACATTGTGCTTTCTCAAGATGGCGTCAAGCTAGCGCCAAGCTAGCGCCCTGATCCCAAACCTTTCGAGTCTTGATGCATATGCGGTAGCGTGACACAAAGATGTGCTTGCATGGAGGCTGGGTGGGAAGACCGGCTGGGTACGGGTCATCTTGACCAAGGTATCTTGAGCCGGCCTTAACCCGGCCTCGGGAGAAGTACGGAAGCTGTCAAAGGCTGGCCGACAACTGATGGCTGAGACCGAGCCTCTTGAAGATATTCCGATAAGAATAATAACCAAAATCCAAATAGTGATACTACCTCACTTCCCGGGCAGCTCACGAACTATACCCTCCATGCTTGACGTAGTCAGTTGGTCTTTCGTACACCAATGCAATTGGGCCTTGCAGGAGGATGGATTGTGTAAACAGGGTTGAGGAGAGAGTGACTGGGTGTGTATATTGCGTAAGTACACAACACCTGATGGTATGTCAATCAACTCATCAGTTGCTTGCAAAGGCAGTTCTTCTGAGAAACAGCTCTGCGGGCACTGGTGAATGAATATGCAGTACAGTACTGTAGTAGTAAAAGGCGGCATGGGTCGAGTTATCATCCATCCGTGGTTGCATCTTCAGTTCATGAACAAGGGTTAGCAGAAAGGAGAACATGGTATTGATGGGCTATGTAACTCCGAGAGCAGGCCCGGGCGGGTTGACCGGGTATTTGCAAAGTGACATCGCCCTGGAAGATCCGGCCGGGTACACGCAAGCCGCATCAGGGTGGGTGCATTGCAGCAGCCAAACCAGACTCTGCAGGCGGCAACACTACTGTGTATAGGTATGTACTATATATCCGTACCTGGTGTTTACCGACGAGTGAAATAATGGAAAATGCCGAGTGCAACCATGCCGACGAAGAGGGGATTGCAGGCATGCAACATGATAAGCTTCTCGCTCTTTATTGAAGAAATTCTGACATTGATAGCTTGCAATGTATCGGATTGATGAGTTGTCGTTCTTTGTCCTGCGAGATGATGATAACGGCGGAGCAAAAAAGCTGGCGATCTGACAGTGAGAGTATCTGAGGACTTGATGGGCTATGAGCAGACTCGGAAAATATATAAAACGGGGATGTAGAGTTGACGCCGAAGAGATGGTAAAAAACGTTCCGGGTGACGGAGATGGCTCGAATGAAACACAGTGCCGGCCTAGATTGTCATCTAGAATCTTAGGACCGGGTAGTAACTGAAGCTAAGGTACGCGTGAAAACGATGCGGGAGGGGCGAGAGCCTTAAGAACGCTTTTCCGGGGTCGGCCTCGATGCGCATATGATGATCATGTGCGTGTAACGGTCATTAGTCTCACTACGAGACATCAACCAGCACTTTCCACTTGTTGTGTCTGGTTTCACCGCTAGACGCCGGCGAAGGGCTGGAACAATCTTCGGAGTTTGGCACTTCCGCTCTCCAAAGCCGCACAGTCCATACCTCTAGGGGTTTGAGCATGGTTGTTGACGTAACGGAATGGACTTGAAAGATGGTTGAAGGACGGGCGACATCAGAGGTTGCGCATCCATGAGCTGTGGAAATATTGACGGCAAGGCAGAAGCAGCGAGATGCCCGTACGGTCTTGGTCTTTCTGCTCGAGGTGGAGGAGGAAACGTTGAAGGTTAACATTGTGCTCCCACCAATGCGAACAATCCATGATCAACGAAAATCGACGATCTGGACCAATTAAGTGGGCACCCACTGCATCAATTTCAATTCTTGTAAGTCCCATGCACATTATGATTGGTCGCAGCTGCATTGCCACCCCTGCCCATTATGCGGTCGCACTTGCACGATTTCAATTCTCGAGCAGCAAACACAGAAGGAACAACCCCAATGTGCTGGGTAATCCAAGCTCATTTCCCCCAGCGCGAGGAGTGTCAGTGGCAGAATTGAATCTCAAAGTTTTCGTGTCCGTTCCCCAGTTTCATCATCATCATCATCATCATAGCCGTTCTGGTACAGACGGTCCGAGCTACCGACTAGTCTACGCGAGCGATCAAAGTCTGGGGCCCAGCGGTAGCGGTCAGGGCTGTTAGCCTATCAACCGATTTTGACCGTCTTGCGTTGCACTGAACTGCCCTGGAAACAAAGCTGGACGGAACTGTTGTTCGAAAGGATCTGACTTGGGCAGAGTTCCCCTCCATAAGCATGAGCAGCAAACCCAGCGATCAGTGATTGTTGGCGCGAGCAAATATGCGCCGCGATGTGCCGGGGAACCCTTCCAGCTTCCGTGGTTGTGCGTGGCTGCACCTGGCTCCAGACCACCACCCTCGACCTCTTCTTGTCAGCCTGTTATCGGTCGTTTATCGAGTACAGCGTCCCTCGTTACTTTGCATCACTGCGTCTAGTTTACATGCTGCCGTCCTCCATCCTCGAACATGTGTTCTAGGGAATGTTGTTTTCCAGAGGATTCGCGGCAACCGGCTCCCGTCATGGACTTATCAGGACCAGAAGTGGCTCGGAAGCAGGATGACAGGATATCATTGGCACGGCGATGTGTCGGACAAACTGATATGTACGGTACGCACTGTCACGGTAACGTTTCTGGTCATGGAACCATGTCGTTGGAATGCAGCCGGAATGCGAACCCTGAGAACGGCCCCGGCCCTGGAACCTTGGCCGGTTCTGGAAGCACTCGCAAGCGGATTGGCCAGAAAAACCCTTTTCCCTTCTATGGTTTCCGTATCTTTCCAAACCGTCCCATTCCCCGCCATTCTTCTGATATCAATGCGCAACCCATGCTGTTCGCGACTTCCCTGCGAGCCCAGCCGGGTCTATATTTTCTTTTTGGGTTTTTTTTTTCCCCCGAACGACAACCTTTTTTTTTTTTTTCTCTCTCACATCGTAGCACCTGGTGGCATCCACTCATACCTTAACGTATACATGCGGTGACTGGACGAAATATCTTCCCTACTGTTATGAGCCCTAATAAACTGGTCCTTACTCCCATCTAGACCTCTCCCATCTGTGTTCGTTCCTAACTTGTCTGCTATCTATCACACTTTTTTGGGCCGTGGCAGCTCATTCACAAGACCTCGACAGAATACTGGGTACCTTAACCGACCACTACATTGCCCCGTCATCACCCTCCCGCTGTCCATCCTTCTCTCAGTTATTTTGAAATTGAAGCCGTCTTCATCCCCCTTCTTGCTCTTTGCACCTGGTATTACTTCTTCCTTGAGGAGGTATTGGACAGTCGTAAGACCTCAGTCTTTCTGTAAAACAATGAGCCTAACATGTACAAGCCATCGCGACCCGGACAAGTTCCCAGCCGTCCAGCTATTCCTCCTTGGTGAGCCATCCCGGACCGAAGCCCACTGACTGTATTTGTCCAGCAAGCTGACCTCATGTTCCTCTCAGCAATCGTCCGTCTCGCCGAACCGATCGCACTCACCTCCATTTTTCCCTATGCCTGGGCTTTCATCAAAAGACTACACATCGGAAACGAAGATGACGCCTCATTCTACGCCGGCCTTCTCATCTCGTCCTTCGCCCTAGCCGAGGCCTCGATGGGCATGTACTGGGGAGGTCTGTCCGACAGAGTTGGCCGGAAACCCGTTTTACTTCTAGGATGTGTCGGCACCATGTTCAGCATGATCATGGTTGGATTCGCAACCAACCTTTGGGTCGCTGTGCTCGGTCGTGCCATAGGCGGACTCCTTAACGGCAATATTGGTGTGATCCAGACCATGGTTGGCGAGCTAGTCACAAAGCCAGAACATGAGCGTATGTCTTGCCTGCCATCCCCAAGACTTCACGATCTTCGCTAACAGAACAAAAATAGCCAAGGCATATTCCATCAGTACGTCGTCAACGAAGAATTATACCAAGCGTGGTTTTATTTGCGGTGTTGCTGACATGTGAAACAGTGCCTTTTGTTTGGAGCATCGGCACCATCATTGGTCCCGCTATTGGCGGTACCTTTGCTGACCCCCACGATTCCTTCCCAAACATGTTCCCCAAGGGCTCCTTGTTCGACCGATTCCCGTACCTGTTGCCCAACCTTATCTGCGCCGGCATGCTTTTTATGAGCATCGTGCTTGGTTACTTTCTCCTCGAGGAGACGCATCCCGACATGCAACCGCGCATTCTGCTTCCCGACGATACGTTCCTTTCCGAGAACACACCCTTGATCGAGACCTCCGATGCGATGAAGCGCCCCGCTGTTGACCTTCGCGATGAAAACTACGGCACCATGCGGGCTCGGGACATTCAGAATGCCAGCCTTACACTGAAGACTATCGAGAGGCAGCCGAGTTACAACGTCTTTTCCAAGAAGATCATGGCAGTCATCGTCTCCCTGTCGATCTTCACGTATCACTCGATGACGTTTGACCACCTCCTTCCCATTTTCTTCGAAGACGACAGGGTTCCTACCAGCCAGTCGTTTGGTATCTTCAAGGTTCTGAGCCCCTTCTACTCCCCTGGAGGCCTAGGACTCTCCCTTCAATCAGTCGGCATGATCATGGCTGTTCAGGGTGTCATTGCCCTTTTCATGCAAGCCGTCATCTTTCCTTTGATGGCTGAGAGGCTCGGTGTTTACAGACTGTTCATTCTGGTCACGGTATTACACCCCATCGTCTACGTTATCATGCCAACGCTGCTTTTCATTCCGGAGAGGCTCCTTTACCCGGCCATTTACTTCTGTCTTGTGGTTCGTAACTTCTTTTCCATCCTCCTCTACCCTCTCCTCCTGATCCTCATCAAGGAGGCCACCCCTAGTTTTTCTGTTCTGGGCAAAGTGAATGGGCTCGCTGCCAGTGCAGGTGCAGCATGCCGGATGATCGCCCCGCCTGTGGCCGGCTATCTGTACTCGGTGGGAAGGAAGATGGACTGCACTGCCTTGGCTTGGTATGGAAGCATGTTTGTTGCCGTCATCGGAGCGATCCAGTGCTTCCAGGTTAAGAGAGATAGGTCGAGGGATGTGGGGGGCGATGACAGCATAGGTCAACACTCTGACAGCGATGGAGAAGTCACTCCTGCTGCGGAGACGGCTTAATGATTGTTACTGATGAGCCTGAGGGTTGGTGGGATTACAATGCAAATTCAAAGTAGGTGGAACATGATACCAATATTGAAGGATAGGAAGAAAAGGGAGCAAGGCAGGGAAAGGATCTATTGACGACTACGGCTACATTAAAAGGAAACGGCATGGCGTTTAGGAACGGATCATGGTGTGTTCTACACCAGTGAGCGAGCGTGCACTGCTTTTATTGCTTTTTCAACACGGGCAAAGTGAACCTGTAATAGGTTGAATCTGGCCAAGGGAGACGCTGAACTGGGCTTGGGATGGTACGGGTCTTGGTATATATGTCATGGATGTTTGCTTAGCATGTACATAAGAATGGACGCCCTGATTTCAGGCAATTCCAATTTCACTTTGATATACGATAACAGTGGCCTTCACATTACCCACGTTCTCTTTCGTCTTAATTACTGACAATCAAATGTGCCATAACAGCTATCTGCCCACGTCTTAACTTCACAGATAGATGTGAGTCCAGGTCCCATGACAAAGTACCCCCTGCTGTTAGATAGTTATTTTGAAAAGCAGGAGCGCTGCGTAAATAATCGCTGGTTCATGTTCCAGGTTATTCGCAACAAGGAATTAATTGGTTGCGGCGGTGGTGCTTACAATCGATGTATATTTACAGTTATCGCTGTGTTCCTCGCTTCTTCCATGTCATTAACCTCATTTACTCTAACGGGCGGGATGTTTCTCCTCCTCTTTTCCGTCCATTCCCCATTTCCACCAGACATAGAGTTCCATACATATCGTCATCAATATGTACTTTGTCTCATATGGCGGCGTCCATTGAGAAACCAGGCACTCGCACTTCATTTATAACTCGATTATTTGTAAACCACTGCAAACATTGTATTCAACTCATGATCTCTACCTCATCATTCATCCATACGTTTCTCCTATACCTAGCCACATTCCCTGCCCTAGTGTGTCCAAGGGCCATCGTTATCCCTCATCACCCCTCCAACCACCTTAGGTATAAAGCGTGTTCGTCAACTCATTAAACGACAACCCCTCCTTGGCCAAATCCTTCACATCAATCAAAAAGTTCAACGGCATCTCCACGAGCGTTCCGCGGACTCTACCCAGCCACTCCTTAACCTCCTCCACGCCACCAGGGAACTCATCCTTGACCACATGTCCATAATCAACCTTGCCCTTTTCGTAACCTTTCTCAGCCTCCTTAGCCTCCGTTCCGGGCAACACGAACTTTTCGCTAAAGAACTCTTCATAGTCCTCCCACGTGCGCACCGTATCATCAGGCACAGCATGGAACACCTTGCGGAAGATCTTGGTATTAGCTTTCGCCGTCTTGTACCACATGGCCAAGAAGTCGTCAGCGAGGGGATCCTCGACAAGTCGATCGGCGTCCGAGCCCCAATCGTACTCGTTGACGGACTGCTGGTTGACGGGGGTCCAGTTGTTGTTGGCGGCGTCCCAGCGCTGGTCGGGGAGCAAGCCGAGGTGCTTACGGAAGAGGTAGCGACGCAGCGAAGCGGCGAAGGCGGAGGCTTGGTAGGGTTCGCCGTTCATGGAACTCTCCACGCGGTTCTTGTCCTGGATGATGACGGCGATTTCCGAGTCGTGGTCGCCCAATTGCGAGCGGTCGTTGAGGTTGGCGGAGCCGCAGATGACGACGCGGTCGTCGGCGATGAGAACCTTGGAGTGGACGTAGAGCTCTTCGCAGACGAAGGCGTCAATCTCGGATTCGGGCGAGCCGTTCCAGGGGACGCTGTCCACCTCTGGACCGTTGAGCATGTAGCAGGAGGAGATGGTGTCCCAGGTGCTGTCGGTGATCTTGCTGGCGGCTTCCTGGTAGCGCTCATATTGGCTGTATTGGCGTCCGCCGCCTTGGCTTCCTCCGTAGCCGCCTTCGTAGCCGTCTTCGTAGCGACTGCTTTGACGGTAGTCCTCGTCACGGTATCCACCTTCATAGCCGCTCTGCCTGCCACCGTACCGGTCATCATCACGGCCACCGTCGTACCGGTCGCCATATCCGCCCTGGACATCGTACTCGTCGCTCTCGGGTCTGCCGCCATCGTAGCCGCCATCGTAGCCACCTCTTCCGCCCTCATAACCCCTATCACCCTCGTATCTGCCCCTTCCATAGCCGTCATCACCCCTGTTCCTCTCATACGGATCGCGGCTGCTTTCATATTGGTTCCGTTCATCATCAATGGCACGCCCGAACTTGTCATCGTAATCCCGACGAGCCCCTTCGTAGCTTACTCCGGCATCCCTGGTAGCTTGAGCCATAGCCTCACTAGTGTTGATACGGTCGTAGTTGCGCAAGTTGTAGAATCGGATGTAATCCGACGGGTTCTCAATGCCCGCCCTCTGCAGACATTCCATGATGCTGTTGCCACCTCTGTTGATGCTAAAGTATTGGTACTCCATGATAGCACGAGTGCCGAGGGCGCCGTCGGACTTGAGATCGCCAGCGAAAGCAGGGACGGCAGGCATCGTCACGAAAATGATAAACTTCTCGCCCTCGCGATGCGCCCGGATGATACGGTCAACGATGGCCTTGCCGATCTTATTTTCAACAGGCTTCTGAGCGTTGGATGTAGCGGTAATAAAGAACTGGCAAGGATTAGTACCACGGGAGTCAACGAGGATATTACCTGACTTACCTGGTTCTCGATGTAGATGAAGTGCTTGGCGTTGGTGATGATCTCGATGTAGGCTTCGGCAATGGAGGCTTCCGTGTCATGACCAGCGGACCATTTGGAGCAACTATTCTTGTCAGACGCTACAGAACATTGCGGAGGGAAGAATGATCAAAATTACCTTCGCACCAGTTGAACCTTCATGCTACGTCTCGGATGCTCGCCCGAGCGGCTGCGATTGTCATGGTCCACGTCGTCGGTATCTCCCAAGAAACGGCGGGCATGCTGGCGGAAATGGAAAGGGGTTTCGTAATTATCGGACTCAGGATAGGGAGCGTTATCTCCATATCCACGGTCGCGGCTTGGAGCGTCGGCACTGATAAGGGCATACTTTCCGGGATCCTTTTCCTTGTACTTTTCGTTCCAGATGAAGGCCCTAGAAGTCGTTAGCAAGATCACCGTCACTGGAAGACAAAGCTAGACTGACCAGCGGTCGACGAAGTGATCAACTAGGTTATCAACAATGTGGCCTTGCAGACTGATGCTGATATCAGACCAACCCATTCTGGAGTGCTTCGTGCGGTCAACTGGGTCATCTGTTAGTCAAAACACCTGCAATACCAGTTTTGTGAAACTTACGCTTGTTGTTCTCCCAGTTACTAACATCCTCAAAGTCGTATACACGAGCATTGTTGTAGTCCTGACCGGGGAAAATGATGTCGTTGAGGTTGCTGGGATGGGCATCGGCGATTGGGTGACTGTTTGTGTCCCATCTTCCGAAGCCTGCCGGATAGTTAGCGCACTTCATTTGATAATAGCGTCAGATAAAAACCTACACATATCCAAACCTCCCATAAATGCGAGCTTCCTATCGACAACGCACAGCTTCTCATGGTGGGCCCAGAACAGGGTCACATCATCCTTTGTTCCGTACAATGCGGTCAGGGTCTCCTGCGGGAGCTTAGCCAAGCTGAATGTGCCCATCTGTATCTTGGACCGGAGATCGGCGATGACATCTCTGCCCCTCGGGATATGATCAGGATGTCTAAAGACCTGGATGTTCTCGTGAAGACCTTCCAAAGCTTTCCTGGTGTGCTAAAGGTGATCCATGATTAGTTCCTGGCCATGCAATTACATCGATGCAGTAACATACCCGAGAATCGACTGTGGTAATGTTAGTTAGCCGTCAAAGCTCATCAAAAAAACGTTTGATCAGACTGAGAACTTACGAGTCAAAGCCTGTTCGACCTCCTTGTACACAATAATGTGGACTTTTACACCGCGCTCTGCAGCGTTGCGCAGCATCCGGTCAAGCCGGTACTGCTGGTTCTTTGCAGGGGGGCGGCGCAGATACAACTCGGGGCTATCCAAATATTCAGTCAGAGGTTCAACTAGCGCAAGAAATCATAAGGGCATACCTCAGCCACCAATCAAGAATGTAGATGCTCTCCTGGGCCTCTGTGAGAGTAATTAGCAGATGAAGTGACCAACGTGGCACATGTGACAAATGTGGCTTACGTTCGAGAGCGATGGAGACGGCATGGAAATAGGAGGCTCCATCGACGTACCACTTCACATCGCCTGAGGATTCAGGTGCGAAGGATCCGAAGCGGTTGGCTCCATACTGGGAAGGATAGGAGGTCTCGGGGACTTCATCGTCTCCGGCTTGCTGAGCGTTGGCGGAAGCGCTGGGGGTATCGTCTTCATGGAGCAGACTCTCTACACCTGCTGTAACCTCTTCAAGCTTCTGCTTGAGCTTATCACGCAGAAAGCCCATGGTGGAGATGTCGTTGAGCGAGCACGTGAGTGATGATGGGTGCTCCTGATGGTCGGGAGTTGAAAGATGATGGTGTAAGTGCGGGGCGCACTCTGGCAAATATCGACGCTGTCGTATCTAGACGCAGGCGCCTGGCTTTTAAGAAGGTGGCTGCTTGTGTGAGACGTCGTTACACAAGACGGTTAGTCGAGTGAGGGCAGAAGACTGAAGAGGTCCGTCACAGTCACAGGCAAAAGAGCTGAATCAGGGGTAGGGCCGCAGGGTGGACACTGAGCACTGAGCTGCGTGTGTCAGGGAGCTGAAGATGAAACGGACACTTTGAGATGATTGGGCACGTTGCGGTATGATACGAGAGCTTTCGAATGTTTGTTCAATGGCCAGCCACCCAAGGAGCGGGGACTGTTGGTGGGCACTCTGGCTGTTGCTCTGGAAAGACCAATTAGAAGCTGAGGCGAAGCAATGTTTACGACGGCGGGCTTACGTAGTGTACACTACAGACATCCTCAGCGCTACTGTTTCCAGCCAGCCAAGAGGCAAGCGAACCGAGAAATCCCAGGGCTGTGTCAGAGTGGACCACAGGCATTGGTAGGGCTGATGGGATGGAGTTTAGGTCCATCATCCCATCTCTCTGAAAGGGGAAGACTGCATCGTGATCGTTCAAAGGCCTTCTTTCTTGATTGGTTGTTTTCAGGTAGGCACAATGTCAACGAATAAAAGCCCCGAACGGCCATGTGGTGATGACGACGAGATGCATTGCGGTGCAACTGTTCTTCATACCCGTCAGTATTTAGGCGGGAGATGGTGTTTCCAAGAGACATTTGGCGACAGCGTTCCTAAGGCGGCCACTTCAAGGACAGTCCCGGCTTTGAAGGTTGTACCGTCCGGCAGTCGGCAGTGTAGATCAGGGTGTTCGTTGCTCGTTGTCCCCTTCGCCTTTGGGGCCTCGCACCCCGCCTTTGGAAAGGGAAAAAAAAAGTTCTCTGCCGAGGTCGACACACTGTTCCAGGGTCAGAAACGTGGCTACCCTTGAGCTTCGCGGATGAGGACCAGAAATGGCCATGAGTATCGATGAATTGGGCATTATCGTGTTTTTCGTGAGGTCAAAATACAAAGGTTCCCTAGAATGGGCTGACACATGGAAGCTCAGAAGACGAAGGAGCCACAAGAGCAGTGCAGAGGGACAGCACAATCCGAGTCAAAGTGAATGCTGTGATCAAGAGAGGTTCCAAGTGGTGCTGAGACTCGAGTTGGATGTTCTTTCTACCGACCGTATTCACCGAACATCCACATACGAGTGGTGGGTGAGAACGGTTAAAAGTCAGAGCAGGTCCAGTTGTTGGTGACGAGGTGGTATATTTGTCTCCTGAAATCTTACGAGACCGAAAGGAAAGACCTCCCCGGAGCACTAACAGAACGTGCTGTGGCGTAGGTGACTGCCCCTTGGAAGCCCGAGCTTTGACTAGCTGCCCGAAATCCGTGGGGGGCAGGATGGGAGCACCGCCGTTTGGTCCTCCCACTCTCCGGTCGTCCATACAGTATCGTGATAACGTGATAGAAACATTGAAGATTGAAGTTGTAATTCAGACTTGAAACGCGTAAAGATACGTAACGTATGCGATCAATCATCAGCCCCTCCCCACATGCCCGTGAAGGCGTGTACCTGGCCCGGGCTTCCATGCTGCCGCTGTGACGGAAAAATGATCAGTCCTTTGCAGCTCTTGTAGTGTATTGTAGGCGCAGGTACAGTACAACCGGTTCCCCACTATCATCACTTTTGAGATTTGTCCCGTTCCCGAGATCGTGCAGACCAGAAACATCAGGTACACTACCAAATTTCCATTCGTGAACCTTGGAACAGACCTTGGACTCTCGAGGTTTCTAAAATTCCAGGTTCTGGCATTGACGCTGTGTCTCAAACAGGTAAAGTAGTTTGAGATCTTGGCACTTTTCTTCTTCGTGTGTGATCACTGTTCCTGAATTTCTCAAACCACCATCACCACCTCGGTCACTCAGTCTACTGCACCCCCATCACCCTTCCACCCTTTCACCCACCCACACCACTTGCTTTACCCTTTGGAATTCGGAACGGGGAAGCGTGGCTTTTTGGGTTTCTCCCGTCTGTCCGGTCAAGCTCCCGATCTGGATACAACCGCTATCACCGTCTACGCACACCGGGTATATTCCCTCCCCAGACCCGAGGTAAGAAGGAGGAGGAGGAGGAAAAGGCACACACCTTGAAGCATGGAAACCCCGAGGTTGGCGTACAATATTTCCTGTTTGAGGCCAAGGTCAGCAATTCATCACTGACAACCTCACGATCCGGAGTGGTATATCACTCATAAATTCACTTGAATCCCCGTTTAACCCCCGATCGTCACCCACATACTCACACCACTTTTTTTCCACCCTCCCACTTTTTTCCGTTGAGACATTTTCCTTCTCCTTCCCAGTTCGGCTATTGCACTTTTTACACCAGAAAGCTGACCGGCTCAAGTACAGTCCTTCTAGCCCGTGACATCCCCCTCTCGAGTCAGACAGAACCAGACGGACGGCCAACTTGGTCCTTGTGAATTTTGCCTCAACTCAAGGACATGATCTCGACAAAGAGCTGCTACATCTCTGAATCGCTACCATAACGTATCGTTACCAAAATACCACCATCCTCAGCCAAGCGTAACCTCAACATATCTTCACTCTCAATCTCAATTTGAGTCAACCCACACTCAAAATGGACCTCCCAACGCTCCCCATCTCTCCCTCAATGACCTACGTCTTCTCCCCCGACCAACACGGCCACCTCGTCCCATGGATCGCCGCCCTGCACGCCTCGTGCATGACCATGGACCGGATGATCGGGCCCTTCTTGCCTCCCCTCGAAAACGGCAAGCTTCTGGGATGGTGGAGGGAGCGAATCGCCGAGTCCAACCAGGGCACGCGCGTCATCGTATTGCTCCTCCCCGAGACTCCTCCCGGCAGCAAGCCGGTGGGCAACGACCTACGAGGACTGGCAATGCTCAAGCTAAGCGACACGGAGACGGGTTCGTTCAGGGGCAAGATCGATACCTTGTTGGTGAATCAGAAATACCGGAGGCAGGGGGGCGCCAAGGCGTTGGTGGATGCGTTGGAATATGAGGCTGCCAGGAGGGGGAGGACTTTATTGGTGAGTCTTTTTTGGTTTGGGTTTTTTTTAAAACTCTTCCCCTCAGCTTTTGAGACATTGGAAAGAAGGAAACAAAAAGAAAAGCTGACAGGAAGACGACATAAAAAAAAGCGTGTTAACACCGAAACAAACTCCCCCGCCGAAGCCGCCTTCAAAAAGTTTGGCTACATCGAGTTCGGCCAAGTGCCCCAGTTCAGCAAAGCCGTCGTTCCTCAGGGCAGCCTCAAGAAGAGCGAAACGTTTTTCTACAAGGATCTTCTCGCATTTTCGCAGCCGCCATCTGGTTCTTCTTCTAACTCGTCCTAGGAGTCTTGAAAGAGTAATGAGAGACTAACTTGATGGTGGAGTTCCGTGGACTGCTGGAAACACTTTGGCTCACCTTCGTTACTCTTCTCTCACTCGGTACTTTCCAGTCTTTTTGTTTTTTTTCATTCATGCAGTTGCCTTCTTATTCATATTTTGGACGTTCTTGTTTTCTCTTTCCTTCCTGACTTTGTTCGGTTCTGCTTACAAGTATGGGTTTTGGTTTTGGTTTCGGTTCGGATTTGGGCTTCGGTTTGGTTTGGACTTTGGTATTGGCTGTTCTAGACTAAGAAAAAGATGAAGCCCGCGCTTTTCATGCCATCGGAAGGCAACTTCCTTTCCCTTCTCTTTTTTTTTTCTCTTTTTTTTCTTTTTTCTTCTAACAATGTATGCTATACTTGTCTGGGCTGCTTGTTAAATGATGGTTGATTGGTGTTGTGAAAAGGCAGACGCAAGCGTTGTGGTTAGGAGAAGAAAATGCCGGTTTCAATCTCCCTGTACATTTTGACAGAATAAGATAGGGACAGTAGTTGTATACCCATAGGTTGCTACCAGTACTCACGTCGTTGTCCTCATGGTCCCAACCGAAATATTTAGCAGGATTACATATGCGGCCATTTGTCGCGGCCATCTCTCAGTCAACGAACGGTCAACCTCTCGAAACAGCGGTCCAAGGGCCAAACAACGTCTCTTCACTTCTCATGTTCTGAGCAAATTCCCTAAATATCCTACAAGTCAACTCTATTTTACGCCAAGTGCGGTTCCAGGGATAATGATGAGGAGAACCTCAAAGCTAACATGGTGTAAGGGGATATATAAAAAAAGGGCGTGGCCAAGGAGGAAGATATAAAGAAAACAACAAGATGAGTGTAGTGATATCAAGACCAATACCCAGTCAAGAAGGCTGTCAGTTCGGGTTTTCCTTTAATAAGCCAAAAGCCTCCCGTCCGGTGATGCTCTGTCCGCAGAATATTCATTCTATCCTCCCTCCCATCGCAAATATACACAAATCCCTCGCTGCATCCTCATTTGGAACCTCCTACCCTTTCTTCACACACAACCATCAGTCATTAACTACAACTTGCAGTGCTCAAAAACCCCACCCACCCCGTGCGCATATGTAAAATCCAGATCATTTTCCTGACAAAGTATAAACCAACACAACAGCCCTTAGCCCAGGACTGTATTTCAATCAGCCTTGGGTCCATTGCTGCTTCCACCGCTGCCGCCAAATACGCTTTGAATGAAGCCGCCGGTGCTGCCCTTCTCGCTGGGAGCACCAATGCCGCCCTCCTCCAGCTTGAAGTGTGTACCGTGACCGGCCCTCCTCTGAGCGCGAGCGCTGTTGCGGAACCACGAGAGGCAACCGAAGGCGATGCCGAGAATGCAGCCCATGGAAAGGTAAGGATGCTCCGAGAAGGTCATACGAATGTCGAAGAAAAGCTTCTCGAAGGCGGAGATGGTGAGCTTGGGCTTGATGTTAAGGGGATTCTGGGAGATCTTGGTGATGGTCTCGAGGATGGACGTGCGGCTGGGGACGATGGGGTTGCCGGTGGTGGTTTGATCCCAGTAGCGACGGTTCTGGTTGGGAAAGTAGGTTAGCAAGCGTTCAACAAGTGCCTAAACGCTGTGAAGTGAGAGATTGAACACTTACATCCTCGTCGTTGATGATGATCCGGTCACCAGTGTCCTTGACATCAATACCGTAGGTGGTCCTGATCCATCTCTGCCAGAAAACGCCATCAACCCAAGCAAAGGTGATCTCCTTCCTGTCTGCCCTGTCCATGTTGATGCGGATGTTCTTGGCGTTGCGCAAAGCACGCTGGTCGTTGCGGTCCTCGGCCTCCTCGATGCGCAGCTGTTTGGCGTTACGAAGCTCCTGCCTTTCCAGCTGGAAGAGCTGAATCTGCTTGTCCATCCACTCGCTAGCGGCCGACTTCATCTCGCGGATGGCACCGTTGAAGGACTCTTCGTCGTCTCTGTTAAGGAGTCCGAGCACAACAATCTTGCCGTCCATGATCTCGCGGGCGTTGGAGGCGGTCATCTCGGGAACAATGGGTAGCCAAACGGACTTCATCCAGTTAAGAACCTGGCGAGTGCCGCGCATCTCATTGGGCGTAAGGGGCTGATAGTACGTGGGACGGCCTTCGCGAGAGACGAGCAGGCGAGGCCAGGTGGTGATCTTGAAGCGATCGTACAGTTCGGGGTCGCGGGTCTTGACGAGCTTGGCACGGCCGATAAGGCTGAGAGGAAGACGCTCAAGGGCGAGAAAGTCCTCGGTGGTGGTGGCATGATCGTAAAAGTAAACAAAGATGACCTCCTCCTTCTCCTCAAGAGCCTTGAAAGAAGCGGCGTCGACGTCCTGTACACCTTTAGAGATGTCAATGGCCTTCTCGGCATACGCGAGGAAGTCACCGAGACCACGGAGGCCAGTGTACTCGACACGCTCGCCTCCCCGGAAGAACTGGATGGTGGGGTAGCCGGTGACACGGACGTCCTTGCAGAGACGGGCCTCCTGCTCGCAGTTGACCTCGCCGATGTTGAGGCGGCCCTTCATCTCGCGAGCAACCTGAGCCCAGTTGGCGGCCATGGCTTGGCAGTGATGGCACCAAGGGGCATAAAACTTGATGAACCAAGGCTCCTGGGTCATGGTGACCTGGCTCTGGAAGCTCTCGGCAGTCAGGGGCTGGGAGATGCCATTGGGGTTGGGAGTAGTCTTGGGCTTGTTGCCCTTGATAGACGCGGCGGCAGCGGCAGCGACAGCAGGGGCCTCGTAGTAAGCAGGGGACGTAGACTTCTTCTTCTCCTCCTCCTCCTCCTTGCCCTTAACCTTCTCGATCTTGGCCGTGGCCTCAACAGAAGGGTCGGCCTTGGAGGCGGCCTTAGATTCTATGGCCTTTGTTTCCGTCGCCTCGGTTTCCGTGGCTTTGTCCGCGGCCTTATCCACAACCTTATCCACGACCTTTTCCGCGGCCTTATCCTCGGTCTTGGGAGTGGGCATCAAGTACTCGTCATTTCCGGTGATGAAGGTATCTTTAACAGGTTGTTCGACCGTGGCAGAGTCCTTGACAAGATCGACCTTGGGCACATCCTTGGCTGAATCAACATTGGATGTTTCCTTGGTATCCTTGGTGGCGGCGACCTTGGGAACGTAGCCGGGAGCAACTATTTCGCCAGGCTTAGGAAGCTCGAGCTTCGCGGGTCTCGATCCGGGCTTGGTCGCTTCCAAGGCCTTCTCAACTATCTCGCTCAGAACAGGCATGGACTTGACGCCCTTAAGAGCCGCGACCTGTTCGCCATTCTTGTAGAGGGTGGTAGTTGGGTAGGAAGATGCCTTGTGTGCGCTGCAGAGATCGTAGTACGCTACGCAGTTGATGGTGCCAAAGCGGAAGTCGTAGAAGGTGGTAAAGTTCGCGTTCTCGTCCCCGACGGGCTTCGATGTGTAGTAGAACTCGTATAATGTTTGGTATGTAGGAGCAAAGTCAATGCAGTGAGGGCAGTAAGGGCTGTGCAGGTGCGTGGTGTCAGCTAATACGGTCGCATGCTTACCAGAGTCTTAATAATGATCAAATACCTGTAGTGCTTAACCATCAGCCATTTGCTGGCTTTGGATTCCTTCTCCCAGTTGTCGGGGGTGAGTTCGATGAGTGGTGGTACCGGTACATCGTTGAACTTGGTGTACTCTTTCACTTCGTCCTCTGTTTCTGTTTCTGTCGTCGTTGATGCGGCAACGGCCAGACGGGCCGCGCCCAGGAATAGGGGAAGCCACCTCATGGTCGTGGCCAGGTGTGGGAAAGCGATAAGTTGTGATGTTTAACAATGTCGGGGCCTGATTGTCGCACACTGCATCGAAGAGCGAGCCAGCACCGCCTGGGTGGAAGAAACACCTTTAGAACCTAAATCGAACCCAACTCGTGCTGTCCGGCTCGATCGCGACGGGGTGGTCGTCGATGGTGGGAATTATGGTGCACTGGTCGTGGGTCGTCGTGTTCACAGTCAACAACCAAAAGATGAGAGACGAAACCGCCTTTGAGAATAGTCGTAGAAGCGCAGGCGGTGTTTGTCTGCTGGCGGCATGGGACAACAATTCCACCTCAACCCGCTACTTGCTTCAGGCGACGGGGGACCAGGGGACCAAAGGGATTCAGGAGGCGATCGAAGGCGGGCAATGGCGGCCGGCCGTGCTGGCCCCTGGCCTCTCAGGGCCCGCCCCAGGGGGCTAGAACGATTTCAGCCAAGACTTATAAGTGGATCCAGCATTGTGGAGGGGAGGGGAGCCAAGCCACAAGGAGGCTGAAAGAAACACTTTCTTCCCCAATTAACATCCAACGACAACAACATTGAAACCCATTGATTCATTTGGCAAAGAGTTTGGTTTTAACGGAAATGTCGATACTACCTGAAATTCCCTCCCTGGTTTAATAATTTGGATTTCTCAGTGCCTCAATATGCTTTGAAAACTTCCACTTGGCCTATCACTCTGAGAGAAGGTGCCACCCTTAGCAGACAGCGCCTGGGCAGCTGGATAACCTGAAGGGAAGGGACGGAGAACGACCCCAACACGTCAAAGACTCGGTCTCGAAAAGAGCAAAGATGAAGGACCCCAAAAAGTCTATGGTTACAACATCCACTCATTCATGTTCACATATCGCACAAATCTGCTGAGATACACCCACTTACCTCCCATCCGTCAAGTTCCAAGCGTGCACTGTTGGCGACCTAACTCGACTGTTCGTGAACTGGCTACGACTCTGCCCGTCACCATGGAGAACAACCGTTCGTCAAAAAGGACAGTTCAGGATGCTGAGCTGGGTAAAGCCGGTGATGTCCGGAATGGTGGAATTAGCAGGACAACACCACGATCTCTCAGTCGTGCTGTCAGCCCTCCGCTCAAGAAACGCCGCACAAGCCCAGAGGAAGGAGAAGAAGAATCCTTTCCCGCAGAAGAGCAGGCAAAAAAGCAGCCATGTTCATATCGTAGGGTCGTCGCGTCGCCCTTTCATCTTACCACGATTCGCTCCTTGGGACAAAATTCCAACAAGGATACCGTATCACTCAAGGGCCTTCTTGGTGACCCCCTGATCAAAGAGTGTTGGGAATTCAACTACCTTCACGACATTGACTTCCTCATGAGTGCGTTTGATAGTGATGTCCGCCATCTGATCAAGGTTCACGTCATCCACGGCTTTTGGAAGAAGGAAAATACCAATAGGTTACAGATACAGGTATGCCAAAACAACTACTCACCATCCCGTTGTGCGTTCAGTCCTGACCGACTGACTAGTCTGACGCCGCTCGCTATCCCAACATCACCACACACCATGCCTATCTCCCCGAGCCGTTTGGAACCCATCACAGCAAAATGATGGTGCTCCTGCGAGCCGATGATACGGCGGAGATTATCATCCACACGGCAAATCTGATTCCGAGAGACTGGAGTAATATGACACAAGCCGCCTGGATATCTCCTCGACTTCCCCTTCTGAAGCCAGACGCCCAGCAGAATAATTCCTCTCCTCGATCCTCACTACCGGCTGGCTCCGGTGAGAAGTTCAAGATAGACTTTCTGAACTATCTACGCTCATATCGGGCTGCCTGTAACCCTCTCATTGACCAACTCGCCAAGTATGACTTCTCATCAATCCGCGGCTCACTGATCGCCAGCGTCCCAGGACGACACTCCCTCGTTGACGATTTTCCCACCCGTTGGGGCTGGGCCGCGATGAAGGAGACTCTCAAATCGGTTCCCGTTCGCCAGGCGGGGGATCGAGTTCAAGGTGGTGGTGATGTTGATGACAGTGAAAAGCCCGAGGTTGTAATCCAGATATCTTCCATCGCCACTCTGGGTCCAACAGACAACTGGCTCAAAAACACCCTTTTTGAAGCGCTCAGCGGTTCCCAAGGCCCCAAAACCCTGTTGTCGTCCAAGTCCAAGCCAGACTTCAAGATCATCTTCCCCACGCCGGACGAGATCAGGAAGTCACTCGACGGTTACGCGTCCGGTGGTTCCATCCATACCAAGATCCAGTCAGCCCAACAAGCCAAGCAGCTCCAGTACCTGAGACCCATATTCTGTCACTGGGCGAACGACTCGGCCGATGGAGTTGGTACGACTACTACAACTCCCATCCGCGAAGCAGGCCGCAACCGCGCCGCCCCCCACATCAAAACCTTCATCCGCTTCGCTAACCACAACACCAAAAACTCTATTGATTGGGCCCTCCTTACATCAGCAAACCTCTCTAAACAAGCCTGGGGCGACGCGCAGAGCAAGAACAATGCGGGAGAGCCGCAGGTGCGTATTTGTTCTTACGAGATTGGCGTGTTGGTGTGGCCGGAGTTGTTTGCGGATAGTGATGGTACTAGTAGTGGCAGCAAAACGGGACAGAAGGCGGTCATGGTACCTACTTTTCTCACAGATACCCCTGCGAGTCATGGCAGTGAGAAAGATAGAACGTCTTTGTTGGGGGAGAAGCAGGGTTCTGCGTCAACTAGCGGGAACGGCGAGGAGGATGGTAAGGGAGATGATGAGAAGGAGGAAAAGTCTTCGACGGTGGTGGTAGGATTGCGGATGCCATATAACCTCCCGTTGCAGAGGTACGGGCTGCAAGAGGTGCCTTGGGTTGCCACGGCGAACCACTTGGAACCAGACTGGATGGGGCAGGTTTGGCGGCATGAATGAGTTGCGGAAATGGTACGCAGCTGATCAGTCCATTGATGTGGGTGGTTAATCTGCCCCTGAAATGAACTTCTTGATGAGCCTACAAGTACGTGGTCAGTATAGGACGGCACAACCTTCCTGTTGGGTGTTAATTGATACCCCTTCCGCTTTCCTCTCGTAGGGATGTGTATTCCACACGCGACTCAAGCCGCCATGTCATGCCTTGTCTTGTACAGACGGGATCCTACAGACGTTTCTAATGTAGTGTAACTGAACCCGCAGGAAACGGAGATATTTCTCGTTTGCAGATCTGGACATATACACAAGACATAGGTAGCTTGAACTGTGTACCTCGATACTTGATGTTTCCACTGTTAACAAGACCTCAGCAGCATCTTCCTGAGTGTTTTCGTCCAGACAAAGATCGACACGACATCCATCTCTTGTGATTGTGCAACTACGGCTTCCATCATACCACAAGAGCCTTCACCACTTTCCATCACCGATTAGACTCCACACAGACCGCGTGCAAACATGGCCTCGGACACTCTTCGGTCTTTGTAAAGGGCATTATATTATAAGCTCAACGGGGTATCTAAACTCCTTAGTTGGAGCCAACAGCCTCGGGGGCCTTGTTCTCGTCGTAGCCGTACTGGGTCTTCATCTCCTCGACCTTGGCGACGTACTTGGTCTGGGCCTCCTCGGCCGAGAGGCCATCGTCGACAACCTTTTGCCAGGCGTTGTACTTGGCCTTGCCCTGTTGATTGTAAAGAAAAAGAGGTAATATGTTAGCTACTGTGTCTGGGCGGAGGAAGGGGACAGCTATGGGGGGCATGGATGAATGGAGGTTTCGTGACTTGACCAACAGCTACCAGAGCACGCGCGCACGCCTGATGAATAGAGGTGGGATAGAATGGGCATAAACAGCGGAAAGACAGAACGGAACGAACCTTCAGGTCGAACATGCCGGGCTTGTCAGCCTTGGAGAAGTCGGCGCCGGTGGCGACCTTGTAGAGAGCTGTGAACGGTTGGAAGAGAATGTTAGCTAAGTGCTGCCTTGCTCGTAGTCATGGGGTCTTGTTGGAGCTCCAGCTCTGTTCGATTGCGCGCGCGAGACTAGTAGGTGATATAGCCCTCGGCTGCTTCGTGGTTCGCCGCGAGCGCAAAGAGGATACATATGGGAGTGGGGTGGGACGTAACGCGACGCACCATAGATCTCGAGGAGATCCTCGTTGGAAGGCTTGGAAGTAAGCTTCTTGGAATCGGCAACGGCCTTCTCGAAAGCGGCAGACATTTTGATTGTTGGGGGTGGGTGAGTTGGTTTTCTGTGGTAGAGGTATCTATGGGTTAGCTAAAGACTCGAACGCAGTTACAGATACAAGTTGCGCGTCGCGTACGTACGATGGGTCTATATGGAACTTGAAGATGGAGATGTGGAGGCAAAGGAGACAAGAATCCAAGAGGTTGAGGGTTGAGGCAGGGCAGTTCTTTTAAGTATGCGAAGTACCTTGACCTTGTACCTAGACTACACTACAGCACGACTTGTTGAGGATCCAAGGATGGGATGAATTGCAACTCTGGAACCGGATTGGCGGGGTAGGTACCTTCCAGGCTCCAAAGTGCGGAGTTAGGTAAACACTCGCTGTGGAATGTCCAACAGCGAATGGTGGAGAGGGGTCTTTTTCCCCTGGAAGCTTTTCCATGTGACCATGAGCGTCATTGCCCCACTAAGGTACTCATCGATCCTATGATAGCATCCACGACACCCTCTTCAACTCATTTTCAACCTGACAGCCTCACTTCAGTTTACGCTTATTTATCGTGAACTCAGCTGCTCAAACCAGGAATTACTTGATCCAGGTGGTCCATGTGAAAAATGTAATTCATTCGTACCTTTTGAGATGTTCCAACCACAGCAACTCCGAAGCAACATATTACTTGTGCCTGCATATTTGGCAGGATATGTATTGAGGTACCAGAGAAATAAGACTGGGAATGACATAAATTAGGATTTCCGATGCCTCTTGATGCTGATAAAATCGAAAAGACATCTATACGGTCGAACTATTCTACTTCTTTTACATTCCCCGACAGCTTCTAGCGGCAACAAGCAGAGCCACGATGTTTTTGCTTAGACAAGTCCTGAGCGCAAAGGCGCGTGGATTGCGATGCTTAACTTACACTGAAAAGCACAGTCAGCATGATATCTTCCATTGTAATATACCATAACACATGGGGTATTTCCACTGTCAAGATATGCGCCATCAGGCAGCTTGTTGTTACTCTGCTGAATATCATTAAGAGATTATGCTGTCTTAGAAAGATGAAACGTAACCGATAAACCCAATCATTCCTGTCCCGGCAAACTGCCCATGGTCTTCGCCTCGAGGAACCCAACAAAATATCACAGCCCGCTCTCTCATATCCATTCAACCCATCTCCCTGTGCCAACCCTCAGCAGCTTACCTCCCAACCTTCTCCTCCTCAATCTCCCTCTTCAACTGCTCCAACACCTCCTGCCTGCTCCTCAAATGCGCCTCCAGCCCTTCCACCTGCTCCTTAACCGTCGCCAAATCATCCGCCACGCTCTTCAGGCTCCCACCAGCCGCCGCCTTCCCCTTACCCTCCTCCAAATCCCTCAACTCCTTGCGCTTATAATCCAACAGCTGTTCCAGCTCCCTCTTGACCAGCGCCGGCTTTGTATCCCTTTTCCCGCCCCTACGACGGTTCGCCGCCTCCTCAACCTTGGCCATCTTCTCGTCCAGCTCCGCCAGCTGCTTCTTCAGCCTGACTTCCTCCCACTGATCGTCCGTCTGCTCGGACGAGAAGTCGGTGCCGGCCGTCTTGAACGAGGAACGGCCTAGGCGCGTCAGGTACTGATCGCCGAACTTAGCCTTGCGGCCGGTAGAGGTCTCGTCGTCGGCCTTTTGGGCCCAGCGCGACTGCGACGGGTCGTTGACATTATATGTGATCTTGTTGCGCTCGAACGAGGCCCGCAGAGAGGCGGGAACGGTGCGCGGGATGCGGAACCCTTCGTGGCGGTAGTTGAGGATGTGCAGGAAGGCAAGGCAGGCATCTTTGTTGATGGTCGAAGAGGCCGACGGGTTGACCAGGTTCCAGGCCGAGCGGATGTCGGTGTCGGGAACGGAGAGGGAGTCGTAAAGGTCTTGGAGGGCGGCGACTGCGGGTAGGTAGGTAGATTAGCATGAGATTAAGGACCGGAAGGGAAGGGAAGGGAAGGGAAGGAAATGTAAACATACAGGAAACCTCGCCGCGCATATCTCGATTCTCTTGATAGATCTGCTCGTACTTGGACTTATCCGCCGGGCTCATGTACCAGTCAAAACCATCCTTCAAGCCGGGGGTATCGTCTTCATCTTCGACTTGCTCGAATTTCGGCGCCTTGCCGGTTAGCGCGCGGTTCGCTTGCACAAGGTGGGCTTTGGATTCTGGGACAAGCCAGTCTGGGAGAGTTGTCGGGACATCAGCGTATTCCTGTTGCCGTCTCCCCCTGTTAGTTCTCTGATAGTACTGCTGCTATTACTGCTCCCATGCTTGCTTGCTCGCTCGCTCGCAGCTTCAGGACGGAAGGAGGTAGACGAACCCCGTTCAAAAGGTCAAAAATGACCCTCATCGCAACACAAAATTCCTCGAAATCGAGATTTCCGTCATTGTCCACATCGGCCAGATCCCAAACGCGCTCCAGCTGGTCATCGCGCAGGCCACTGTTCTTCAGCACCGGCGCCGCCTGCTCGCCCGTCAGGAACTTGCCGCCATTTGTTCGCGCCGAGAAGATGTTCCAGTACGTCTCGATTTCCTGCGCTTCGATTTTTGGCGGCATTGTCGCGGTTGGCTTCGTAGTAATTATATGCGTGTAAGTGGGTTGGATAGTTGGCTACCAGCTACCTATAGAGCTGAAGGGCCGTGAATCGCAATGGCAACCTAGATCCGGGGGCAACGGCTCTCGGTTCCTGTCGGGTGGTAATGCGGTCGTCGACGGGAGCGCTGATTGACCGTCTTCGAGATGATGAGAACAATTGTCGATTCGATTAAGCGAGGCGGTCACGGAAATAAGTGGAGATTGATACTCGGGTCAATGTTAGATAATGGGAATGAAGTTCGATTGGGTTTGAGGTTATCTCGAGGAAGTCAGGTTGGGTCGGTTATTGCCAGTGTACAGCCCCGTAGCGCGGTGTGATTACAGTGGGAAGTTGTCAGGCGGATCCCAGGGCAGTTGCAACGTCCAAGCTCCGTCTCTTGTTGTCGGTGGATGATGCCTCGCAGTATGACCGGGGGATGGCCCGATGTGCGCACATGGCTGTTGTGCCTTGCCGTAGCCCGCTTCGAGGTACATGGGTCTCCACTTTCTCTCTGCCCCTGAGCCCCTTTTTCATCCAAACAATGGCATCTCGTCGTACTTCTGTCAACTGCATGATGTGATGTTCGTCGTCTTCACGTCCATGTTATAAACTCGAAACCGCGCATTTGAGGAATAAAAATGTTTGGTTTTCTTCCTAGTGAGCGACCAGTGTGGCTCAGGTCACAGAGGTTACAGATAGGGCGCAAATGCTCACTAGGTAAACCACTGCAACCAGCTCAGCTACCAGTTGGTGCCGATTCCTTCCAGCATTGGAAGGAATAGCAATACTCCAGGATATGGCATCAAGCGTGTCTAACTTTTTGAGTCATGAAAGCGTACAAAACCTTCATTCACAACAGCGGTCCGATGGTGTAGTTGGTTATCACGTCAGTCTAACACACTGAAGGTCCCCAGATCGAGCCTGGGTCGGATCAAATGCGAATATCTTTTTTTTCTCACTGTCAAGTTTTCTGCAACGTACCCTGCTACATCTATCGACGTCTAAGAACGAAATCACTTTTTCTCTTTGATTGACCATAGGATCGTGATGCAGCTGTCACTCACACTGCTGACGGGCGAACGACCCTGTGCTGGATATCGCACCCCAATCCAGCCCTTCTAACGATAGCCTTAACTCATCTAGTCGACATCTTTCCAAACCCAATATGCCTGCTCATTACTTGACCCAATGCCTGATAACCTAAGCCCGTACCCATGACCGCTTCATGTTCACCAACCATTAGTGCTTATATTCCATCCTATCATCCCCAACAACCCCCCAAAACTCCTCCACAATCTCCTTCTGTCCGCTCTCCGCCCCCCTAACGGCCAAATATAGCCTTGAATCCAACTCCGGGTTCCAATCCCCCGGGTTTGCACTAACCATGATCCCACCCGCCTCCTCGAGAATACACCAGCCCGCCGTCACATCCCACGCATAACACCCGCCCTCCCAGTACGTATCGACCTGACCGGCCGCCACCGCGCAAATGTTCAAGGCCGCGCTGCCCAAGCTGCGCAAGCTGTGCACCATACACCCGCCATTCTCCTTGGCAGCCGTCAACTGTCTAAACACCCTGGTCTTGATGTCAAAATTCTTTCCCTCGCGCTGACTACCCCACTCGACCGCCACCAGGGCCGTAGAAAGATCTCCTAGCGGCTGCCCCCCATTCAGCGGCAACTTTTGCTTTGGCCCCTGTCCCTTTCCTGGTTCGAGAGAGGCGTTGCGCTGACAGTAGGCGCCCTGTCCCTTGATGGCCGTCCAAAGCGTGTCGAGAGCAGGGTTATAGACTACGCCCACCGCGGGGCGGCGGTCGAGGGCGAAGCCGAGCGAGATGCAGAAGCCGTGCGGGTAGCCGTGGACGAAGTTGGTGGTACCGTCAATGGGGTCGACGATGAAGGTCGGGGCGGAGGTGACCTTGGTTTCACCGGCGACGTAGGTCTCTTCGCCGACGAATGAGAAGGAGGGGTATTTGGAGCGGAGGGTAGTGGAGACCATACGCTCTACGGCTTGGTCGGTTTCGGTGACAATGTCGGCAGCTGTTGGGTAAGGGAAAAGGGTTGTTAGTCAAGGTAGTTGAGGTTGCTTGCCAAGGATGAGTAGGTAACTGCTGGGGAAGAAGTCGGAGGATAAGGAAAGGCACACACAGTTCATCTTCGACCCCTTGTCAATGTTGTTGGGGTTGGCGGCGAGGATCATGCGGCCGGCCTCGAAGGCGACCTCCACGAGAGTGTCATGGATCTCTTGAAGGTTGATGTCGGGCATGGTGATGGTGGTTGCCGTTGTTATTAGATATTCGAAATATAGTGTTGCAGTGAAGGACAATATTAAATGACAACGGCGTCGTATAAAGGAGCTTATATACAGATGAACAGCTTTTTTTTATAGTTGACCAAGTGTCAATGGAATTGGTATATAAGAAGGAGAACCTTGTTGGTTATAAGCTCCCAGAACTCGGGGGTACATAAGCTCCAAGATGGCATGCGCGGGGGAGGTGGAGAAGCAGCTAAGCTTCCATGTCATGGTGTGATGGTCCGTCCCGTCAGGGGCTCGGCCAGCTCGGCGAGGGTGGGGCGGGATGCGGCGGAAGTGGGGTCTTAAACATGTTCTCTTTCCGGTTTCATCCCACCATCCGGTGTCCCGAGTGAGACATTGGACGGCCGCAAGACTAATAGCGCACGAGGGAAGACCGAAATGAAAGGATATCATAGCGTCCCAATCGAATACAGGATGCATCATATGTATTCCCTCTTGATTCTTGAAGAGTGGGCGTGCTGGAAATTAGGTGTGCCGTTCGGTCTGTGTGAGAACTTGGTCGGTCGTCATGAAGATCCTCCCTTACCGGCCACAGGTTTCCATGTTTGACGTGCTTGGGCATTCTCAACCCATTCCATTGAATGATACTGACGATTGGTGGGTTGCTTCTCGTATGGCCTTTCTCATTTTCAAGTAACTCTTGCGGCAGTAATCGAACACTGATAGAAAAAGAGCCGTGCCCCAACTCCCAACTAGCCGCCTTTCCCAGAAATGACGAACCACCCAAATCCAAATGCTGCCCATGCCGCATCTTTACGTAAAAACATAAGTGATTTCCGTTAATAGTTACACGGACACCTCTTCCTCGTAAAGACACGTCCATGCGAGAATCATGTAGCCGCGCCTATAACCCCCCCAGTAGACCATACCTCGTGCTTTTCGTGGTGATCAAAAAGCCGAGAATTGTTTTTCTTATCCCTTTCGTTGTGCTGCCCACAGTGTTAATCATTCGTTCGGTCATCTCTTCATACATCCTCTCTGAAGATAGACCTCCTCTCCACTGGGGTCTCAGGCTCGCCATTGTTGTGACCACTCGGCTTTGAGGCTCCCGTGCCCTCGATCGGACGGGGGCTGACGCCTCTCATGCTAACGTTGGTGTGATCCGCGGCAGCATCGTCGAATGGGTTTTGGGGAGCGGACGCACTCAAGCCCTTGTTCGCAGCCGGGCCAGGAGAACGGCTTCTCCTTCTACCTCTCTCTTCCTCGGGATCTGCGAACGGGTTGCTAGTGCCAGTGCCAGTGCCAGGCTGATTATTGCCGGGGGTGATCGCCAGGTTCAACTGGTAGCTGCTTCCTCCGTAGCTCGTATCATCGCCGAGGTTGTTGTGCCGAGAGGGCTGCATTTCTGTCTCCTCATAGTATGCGGGTCCATAGCCATCTGCCTCTTGTCCAACGCGCGCATCCCATGCCTCATCCGGATCGAGGGGTCCGAAGCCGCGGCTCCGCGCGGCGTTAGCGTTAGCACCGGAAGGCTCGTAGGCACCAGCTGCAGTGCGATTGTTGTTCTTCTTGAACTTTCCGAACCAGCCCTTAATACCGCCGGAAGAAGAAGAGGTGTTGTTGGCATAGGGAAGGGAGTTTGAGGGCTCGGGCCAGAAAGGGATGTACGAGGTGAGGGGTGGTGGTGGAAGCTAAAAACATGATGTTAGTTATGTTGCCAATCATGATTCGTCCATACAAGAGATTGGAATTCGCAGTTGCAGATTCGAAAGAACAGGCGATGTTGAAACCCGACGGATAACATACCCCGAGACGTGTTGCTTGGGCGCGCGAGATCAGGACATAGAAGATGGCGGCAGCCACCACTGCGAGGAAGATGCAGAGGATAATTACGCTAGCCGGCCCCATGGTGAAGGTCGAGTTGGGTTTGATGGCTCAGTTCCTCTTTTCTTCTCCGTTTGTTTGTAGTTGGATGGGAGAAGGAAGCGGGCGGAACGGGCGGATCGAGATCAGGAGGAGGTCAATGGAGTCGTTGGTCGTAAGTGGTTCTCCGCTCGCATCTGTCGTAGTTGAAAAACGTTGGAGATAGTTTTTGCGGTCGCTCGTTTTGACGGGTTAGGTGGTGTGTGAGTGTGGGTAAAACCGTCGTAAAAGAGAGGCTGGCGCAAGACCGGGAAGAAGACAGCCGTTTCGTGGAGTTCGTAGGCGGCTGGGTCCCGGGGTGTGAACTACAGGTGCCTGAATCTAAGGCACTGTTGTTGCTCGTATGTTTGTATGTGACACGAAGAAGACAAAATGAGACTTTAATCGTGTGCATGTACTCTGCGGGTGATACGGAATCCGGACCGGTAGGAGAATAGCAAATGGTGGAGGAGTGGAGGGTGGTGAAGTTGATAGCTCCGCGACCACCGAATTGAAGAGGAAACGCACTGCGTCAGCGGGGTCTGTCTCCCTGCCCACAGCCGGTGGTTGAGCGGGACTTACTAGGCTGGCCAAGACGACAAGGATCAGTGATCGCAAACATCCAGATCAGCCAAGACCGCCGGTTATCTAAGCCCAAATGGGCAGTAATGATCGATAGTGACAGGCTTTAGCGGGTTCCTGCCACCCTAAACCCTGCAGGTACAAGCTGTGCTTGGCATGCCAACTTGCAACCTTGTTGCTTCCCTTTTTTCCTGTCGTATTTTCACATGTGTACACTACCACTGACAACACCGTTGGGACGAGTTTTCTTTCTACTTTTTTTTAATCAATATCTTTAAGCCCTTTGGATGTAGCAGACATGAGGAATTTTATCCAGTCAAGCGAAATACTACCAACCGGTCAGGCGGGCCAAAGTCGAATCGTGGAGTGGAGAGCCATGAGGATTCTTCCTTCCGCATCATCCGTCGAACCGTTTTAGCTTCGCACCTTCATCGTACGGCATACCCGGTGGGAAAAAAAAGAGAAAAAAAAGAAAAAGAAAAGAAAAACAGGAAAAAGGAAATGGACTTCACAAGTGCGAGACGACCGAGCGAATTCGAGCCGTGCTATGCTACGAAGAAAGTGCAACCATTGCCCTCAGGTAGCTGAAAAACAAGCAGCTCTTAGAGTCTCTAATCATTCAACACCAAGTTCTTCACAAACTAACCATGGGATGATACCGTCAAAGTACCTGCAGGTAGTTTGTTGTACTGACCTTGTGCTGATATATCTCACATTAGTCGTATCATAGGCCACACGCTCGGGTCAGCAAGCCATGCCACTATACCAACCTCACAACGCTCCAAGAGTAACGAAGCCGATGGGACTCTACTGTAGAGGAGTATGGGGACCCTAAGATTAAGTCGCTTTCTCAGACCCTGAACCTGTTTCATGGAGGACATTGGGAAGACAAGGTTGATGGGAAGGTTGCTTGGTATGCCTTCCAGCAACTGGACACCTCGTCAGGCAGTGTCTTATATCTTGTCATTGGATCTGACGAAAGGCGGACGGCTTGCTTCAAATTGTTGAAGAATAGGGCAGTCAAGGAAGCTCTCTTTCGATTAAACAGCAGCGCCTGCTCTACAATATACAATTAGCTTGTCAGATCCACAAGCAATACGTGAAGACCTCATCTCATCAGCTTTATCCGGTTTATCAGGGGGATCAGACTTTTGTTCGGAACATGGCACCTCTCGAGGAATTCCAGAAAGATCATGTGAGATATCCAAAACAAACAAGTTAAACAATGCATTGCATCAGGGTGTAGCACAGATCACACATAGCTGTTAGTCTACCAAGTTTTACCGCCCCATTGCAGCACGTCAGAAATCAAGAAACAAAAAAAATCTTTCCTCGTACATATAAACCAACAAGTGCCCCTGATTTTCCTCCTTCCCGACTTCTCTATCTTCATCTTGCTCTTTGCCCTTCCAAATTCAAATTGGCCGATAATTGTTTTTACTCAAGTGCCATCCAGGACGACAACATGCCGTACGTCAGTACACCTTATCTCTGGAGCTGTTCAAATACTTTGCAATTATCCCGACAACAATCACTAACTTTCCAACAGTTGAAAGAGAACATCCAGCGGGATCTCAGCCAGCTCGACACCGCACACTGGGTCATGTCACTGGACACAGACTATATCTACCTCGAGGAGCCCGACTGGTCCGAACAATCCGGTGCGTACCACGAGCCGCCGCTAGCGAGGATGGAGAGACAAAAGCAGCAAGCATCTAAGAATCAAATCAGTAATTTTGTCGCCGCCACAGAGAACAAGCTGGGAATTCTAGCTGCCTGGGAGAAGCACAAGGAGGAAGAAAAAGAGAAGAACCTGAGAATTATAGGTGCTTGGGAGACGACGTACATACATGTACACAACAAGGCCGTCCCCGACCAAAAGGTTTGGCAATCGGCCGCCGAGGCTAAGAAGGAGAAGCAGAAGGGAATAATAGTCGACAGCGAGAAGTCCAGAGTGGTTAAAAAAGTGAACAACAAGAAGGATCTAAGGAAAAGGGAAAAACAGTTGACGCAGAGCATGCAGGTTACTACGATAGTCAGCAAGGCTGTTGACACTAGTAAGGTCAGTAGAGGAGTATCCATCCACCTCGTTGCACGTCACAATGGGGAAGCAAGGCTAATTCGTAGAGGTAACACTACCTTACCTACCTAGACTCGCGACCAGCAACTTCGCGAGCTTTCTCCTATCACCAAGCCAGTGGCAGCAAGTGTCAAGAAGGATAGGAAGGGGGTGAAGGAGGATGAGAAACAGGGGGAAAACAAGGATTGGGATGATGGTAAAGACGGAGATGACTTTCTGACGCCTGAGGTGAAAGTGGAATGCCTCACGGTCGCGTTCATGACACTTGCCTCCAGAATCCATTACCAGATGCTTATGATGGATAGTGTGGACGATGATTAGGAGCATGATTTGAGGTCCATGGTTGCTTTACGGTTTTCTGCGACGGTTAGACAAATGGGTAGTGGTTCTGCCCTTTTCACAGTTTCCCAAGGATTGGTTATCGAGGGAACTTTAGTATAGAAGCGCAGACGTTCTTTACTTGCTCACATGAATTCATTCCTTCTATCGCTCGCTAATCACGAAAACGAAGAGCGAAAAGGCCAACATCTGCTTATTGCCCACACCAAATCCCTCACCTACCCAAGCTACCCTAAGCAAAACACTTATCCCAATCTCCACCCCTCCTAGCAAACTCCATACTCTCTACAAATTTATCCAACCTACACCTCCCCAACTCATCGGCCTCACATCCATTCAGTTTAACCACCCTATCATTAACCAAGATCCTCACCAACTCCTTGTCCTGCTCCTCCTCGCTCTGAACCATCTCTCCACTCCCATCCCCATCACAAACCATCTTCTCAAAATACACCCTCGCCGCAAACGGCACCACCCAACCAACCTTGAACAACCCCTCCCTCTCTTTCAAATTTACCGGATCATCGCCAGTCTCCCCGTACTCTCTTGGTATGGTCGTATTATCCATCATCTTGTCCACATCCACCCCCTCAAAGATTCTCAAAGCAGTCAAGATCCCCATCATATCATTATCATGACTGAAATCCGCAAACACCGTCCTGTTCTTACTCAGCGGAAACGTGTCCTCGTTCCCATCCAGCGTGGAATTGGTGGTCGTGTTATCCACCACCGGGGAAACCGTGAGGCGAGCCAAAAGCTCGTTCACGTACCCCACCCCCTGCGTGGCAGCCAGAGAATTTCCCGGGCCGTAGCCGTAGAACTTGCCGAGGGACTGAAGATAGTCGTATACCGTCAAGTCTTGAGCGGTAAAAAGGGAGCAAAAGGGGGAGAGCTTGCTTCCCCCCATGGGAGAGGACGAGGTGGTGAGAGAGGAGGAGGGCGGGTAAGCGACGGTATCAAAGGGGCAGAGATCCATGAGCGAGAGCACGTCCGTGTCGGAAAGAGTGACGCCTTTGAAACCTTGCGCATTCAACCGCGCGGTGATGGGCGGGAAGTTGGCAGCTATAAAGGTCGCCTGGGCCGCATCGCCGGTGGTGGAGTCCTCGAAGGCGCGGCAGAGACCGTGGTGCATGGTGTTGTTGGCCGTGGGCGATTCGGAGATGATGACCATTTCCTGGCGGGGAAGCGGGAGGGAGGAAGAGGGTGGGTTCTTGTCGGCGAGGAGGGCAGAGTAGAACCCAGTGGTGAAGTTCTCAGCTGAGGCAATGACGCGCTCCTGCCCCGAGGCACGGACAAAGGGGAGGGATTCTGGGTCAGTGTAGTCCCGAATGAGGGAAGCGTAGCGTTGGTAGAATTTAATGCCCGAGTTGACCATCTCTTGCTCGCCAAAGGCAGTGAGGTGGTCGACGCCGAGGACATAGTTGTAGTCTTTGATGAACTCGAAGTCGGGGGCGTACCAGGTGGCGGAGGTTTTGATCTTGGTGAGAACGGCGGAGATGGCGGCGGCTTTGCCGGGAGTTGGGAAGCGAGCGCCGTGGCGAGAAAGAACTTGGGCGAAGGTGAGGCGGCAACCCTCGGGAACGGAGGGGGAGATTTCCGACGGGACGGAGAAGAAGGGCGAGTATTGACCCCATGTGTGGGTTGTCTTTGAGTTACATTGGTAGCCAAGCTCTGGGCTGTCGCATGATGCTGGATTTGGGGATAGTACTCGTCTGATGAGTTTATTAGTCTCTTTGACGTGAACATAGAGTAGGTAAGTAGCAGAACGGAGCTCACAGAGAAGCAGCAGCCAGGTAGCTAAACAAGGGAACCATCAAGAGGAACATGATGAGTTTGACAAAGATCTTGTTAGGATCTCCCCATACCAACCGATACAGCAAGCCCCTCTTTTTATTCTGTTGTTGAAGTTGGCTTTCCTCGTCCAAGTCTTCAGCTGTTGACTCGCTGGGAAGCAACTGAGTCTGACTCTCTGAATCATCGCCATCGTGACCGAGTGGTGAGTATTTATGCTGCGAGCCTCCTCCCATCCCAAAGAGGGATGTGGATGCAGAGGAGGCTCTGGTTGTTCCTTTGGTGGCCGGGTCCATGTTGCGTTCGGCGTAACTGCGAAGCAATTTCCCTTTGGTTCTTCGCTTCTTATTCCACCTCTTACGCGGCACTCCTTCACGTGTGTTCGCAGATACTACTCTGCGCGGACTCGTACTCCTGAACTGTGAGTTTTACCGGAAGGTGACGATGTAAATGGGGATATGTAGGATACCCTTGCGGGTACCTTGATGGCCAGACAGGCGGATTTGGTCAATGCCGAAGTTGTTGTATCTCCAGGTTGTAAGTCTAGTTATGCCTAGGGGTCTTTGTTGATGCGTTTCATGATATATCAGTGCGATATACTGTCGTGTTGTTCTTGGTGGTTCCTTTATGTAGGCTCATGGTTTCCGTCGTGAACTGAATCGAGTTGGAGGACCCTGCTGTGTCACGTCACAGTCGCCTTCAGTCGACGCCTTGAACATTAACTAGGTCGACCCAGTACAGACAACAACAAAGTCAAATCATTCAAGTAACAAAGAATAGGCGAGAGATACTGTACGAACTGAAGAAATGAAGTCGGGTCTCATTACATATGTATGTAAAGCTGTCCGCGACCCTGCAACCAACCAACACGTGCAGTGTGCTTCATGTCATGGTTGGTTCGTTGGATGGGTTTGGTTGGGTCCTGTCAAACTGCCGAGCTCTTGTGTGTTTCACTGGATGCGCACGGACCAATGCAATGAATCAGGGGTCGGGCAGAGCTGAGACCTTTGACCTGCAAGGGAAAGACAGAAAATGAGGACGGGAGTTGTGAAGCAATCGGGCGGTTGCGGTGCCGAGTCCGCCAAGACCAACAGGAAGGGAAGTCGGGGGAAGAGCCGGCGCCAAGAAGCCAAGCCGTTGATTCCGTCGGCTGCTTCTTAGTGTAGTTTATGCCGGAGCAGGGCATTGCGACGTTCCCACGCGGGGCGGGCCCGCAGTCCGACTGCAGGCCCCGATTCCTTCGAGATCCGTTTGCCAAGCGATTCAGTGCCTTCAGACAGGCATTCGCCGGACGTCGGGCCCGTTGCATGTTTCGATGAGGTAAAAGGTCAAGCAGTGAGGACTCGGAGCTAGACAGCTTCACATATCTGTCACTTGTCACCTTATCCTGTAGCTACATCCCAATATGCATGTACCCAAGAGCTTCCCCAGTGCTCCTACACAAATCATAAATATCGTGAGCTCGTGTCTCCTTGTATGTCCATCCGTTTCAACTATACACCCAAAACACTGCCTGCTAAGTCGTCTTTCCTATCTACACCCATTTTATGGTGAATATACTCAAATCATAACGTCATCATTGTATTCAAGGCGCACATCCTGAACAGCCCGCCCGAATTACCCTCCTCTACCAAACATCAGGCCCAAACCTTCCCCCCTCCGGCACCGCCTGATACGCACAAGCCTGCCAATCACATCCTTGTTTATACACTTCCGTCCCCCACCAACTAAACCCTCTGACCACCCCGGGATAGATGAACCCGAAAAACACCACCACAATACCAAACGCCAGGCCTGAATCCAGCGCGGCGCTGAGCGTCATCGTGTACTTGGCCCACCACGCTCGCGCCCGGTTCTTTATCACGTAGTTGAACACGTAGCAAACGAGAGCCCACACGGAAAAGTTCAAGCCTGTTGCTGGCGGGATCCAGCCCAACGACCCAAAGAGAACGGGAAGGTTGAGTTTCCGCACAATACTATCCTTCCTCTTGCGTGCGTACAGCCACAGCGGAATGGGTAGGACGGCTCCGACTGCGAACGCCCATACGAGCGGTCGGTAGGTTGCCCCGGGGCCGAAGAACTCGCTAGGGCCAACGACGCCCCATAGAATTGACCCATTGAAGTGCACACGGGCAATCGGGCACGTGAACCCGTTGAGGGCCTCTGGAGTGCAAAGGCCGGGGACGTTCTTGAACATCCAGTTGAGGACGCCGATCTGCGTGAGGGAGGAGACGATGGTCGCTACCATCTGAACTGAGAAGAGGATCCGGGGTGGTATCTTCATGTAGTGGCCTAGTTTGAGATCGGCAGCGAACTTGATGCCCTGCGCTGAGGAGATGTATCCGTAGGTCACAAAGACCATGTTTGCGACGGGTCGGCCGGGAAAGACGGCGCCAGCAACGAGCTGGCAGATCAGGTAAATGCTGCTGTGCTGGTTGGTGACTGCCATGATGATGCCGATAGGGATGAAGAGGATGCTGCAGATTCCGAGAGCGAGGAGCAAGCCATACCAAGGCAGGTGAACTGGGTAGCTAGAGACAGGGTTAGATCGATATGTAACATGTGCGCGGACATCCCGACCTACTATTCAACGACAAAGATACCGATAGCCAGCATCAATATGCAAGTGATGAGATACCACGACATGGGGGCATCCTTGTACCTCCTCATCAACCGGTTATGTACGTCTTCCCTATTCATAATGTTCTCCGTGCTCGAGTTAGATCTAGTAAAGCTTGATCTTGAGCTCAACCGACTCCAAGTCCGACTGAGCCCCTCGGTCGACACTGCAACCGGCTCATACGAGCCCTTGAGCTCGGCACCATGCATCTCGCCCAGGGTTTGCTTCCACTGAGCCCAGATGTCTCTGCCGTGCCAACATATGGTATGTGTAAGTAGAGAGGCCAGGCCGGCAAATTGAACGGCATAGCCGAGGACATAGGTGATGGGGAGGAAGACTCTGCTATACTTCGAATAGGCTTCTCGATCGAAAACGAAATCCTCTGTAAGGATCTTGCTGACATCATATACCTGGCCTGTGTTGTCGAAAACGGCTGCTGATAATATCGGCATATATGAGGAGTAGAGCCAGTTGCTGTAGTATGCGATAGGGGCAATAATCCACATGACCACGACAAGACCGCCAACCACGTTCATGGCTGCCCAAAATGGTGTTAGAAGAGGCGATCCGATATAGGCGATCTGAGCCCAGTCAAATGTCATGGGAAATAATCCCAAGCCAGACACTACGCCAAAGAGATTGGCAACAACAACATTCTTGGGAGCAAACCAGGTGATGACGTTGAAATAGCTCAATGCGGGGAACAAAAGGCCGGGTACAAAGTAGAAGAGGAAGCCAGCGAGGAACACGACCATGAAGAACTTCCATCTAGTCATCTTCCACCCATTCGCCACGTGGTTCTCCTGCTTGTGAATGGTAGTAAACATGGCGGCCGACATGAGCGTACCAGGCCATATCATGCCGCTTGGCCGGACAAGGAATCCCCGTGTGAGCCCGGCGAAGGTGTAGCCCATAATTTGAGTAGAGAGGGTGAGGAGAATCTGGTAGAGTATCGGGGCATCCTGCTTGTAAAACTGGGTTTGCTCGACGATAACATCCGTCGCAAAGGCAAAGCCGAAGGAGACATTGCTGCTGACATAGACGCAACTATGTTCCTTCTCGTTCCAGCGACCCTGAGCGAGCCATAGTCGCAGCTGGTCGAGCTTGCTTCTTTTATCCCAAGGAACAAAAACACGTGGTTGCTCATCGGTCGGGTGGTCAACCGGAATATTGGCACCGTCTGTCCGACATCCATCAACATACTCTTCTGGGGGGTCGTCAGCTCGTTTGAGGAAGAAGTCCCACATGAGACCAAGGGGATGGGTTGATAGGAGTGCGATGACAGGCGTGATGGCAACACTGGGGTATCTCAACGAGAAGAACAAGTTGGTGGAAGATCCGATAATAGAAAATAGCACGGCCAAGGTCCACATTCGTGGAGTGTTGATGGAAAGTGTCGTATTGTCAGTGGGCGCAACTGAAGCCCGTACTTGTGCGTAGGGAGAGTTGTCGGCCGGGTCCTCCTCAGTTTCATCGAACTCGTTTAACTCATCGATATGGTCCAGCAAAGACTCTCCTTCAAGCGGTACCTCGGCTTCAAAACGACCCTCGATTCCTCGCATTGTCATTGAGCCACCCCATTCGCCAGATTTCTGCAGCGACAAGGAAGGTCGCTCGGACGATCTTCCCATAGATCCATCGCAGCTGTCCCCCGTCGAGCTCCTGCCGGTTGAATCATGACCTGTTCGAAAACGAGCACTGCTTTCGGAGCGGGACTCGGCGCGAGCGGATGGTTCGCCCCCTTCGGATTGGGGAGCATTGGTCGCCCGGGCCGGCGCGGAGGTTATGGCTCCGTAGGAGGGACTGTCTCGCCCCGGCGCTACGGAGAGAAGGGAAGGTTTTCTTTTGGTCATGAGTTCTTCAGATACGGGCTCGCTTGGTATGCTATCGTTGTCGCTATCTGCGTTGTCGCCACCCGTCTCCTCGTGTAAGTGAAGTTGCTGGAGTAGTCCATGGGCATTCCCAGGTAAGGTCTGGACGGGCTCGTCCCGCCCAGGCAACGTATCAACGCGATCCTGATCTTGTATCGAGCCAATGAGTGAGACCTCAAAGTCTTGTGAAGAGTGCGATGAGGTTGGCGTCGGCTGCCCTCGAGTGGTGGTTGACGAATTGGTGCCGGCCGGCAGTTCAGCTTGATGTAGCAGTTCACGAAGCGGGAAGCTTGGATTATGATCAGAATCGTCCAAGAAGAAAGCTATGTCGGGTGAAGGACTCCTATCTCGGTCAGGCGTCATACGGAATCTGTCTTCCTGCCCGCCTGGGGCAAGATGCAAGCAACGAGTCAATGGGAACCAAGGACGAGGAACCTTTCACAAATCCGATACCCGGGCGGGGGTCCGCACAAGTCCAATCCCTGTTGCGCCCAGTTGCCCTGATGGAGCCTGCCACGGAGTTGGGCTTCGACTGGACGTTTCGTTCCGCTATCACTTGGAGACTTGTAGTATTTCGCGCCCGCGGTGTTTCCAGTCGAGCGAGAGTCAACGATGGACGGCTAGGCGAAGGGAAGCTGTGGGATCGCGATAACGGGAGAAGAGGTCAAGACTAGGGTTCTCTATTTCTGGTGGTAACAGAAAATACCTAGGTAACAAAAAGAGGAGCGAGTACCTGTGTATTACGGGGACTAGAACATGATCAGAAGAGTGCTACAGCGCGGAATGGCGAGTCATTGTCATTGCCAATTCGATTTGCAATGGATCGACAGCCTCGATGAGGGGATACAAATGTTGGCGTCAAGGTTGCGTTTTCCATTTTCTGTATGGTCGATGAACAAATATCTGCGCGTGGTCGCTTCCCCGCCATTTTAGGTGACGGGACATGGAAGATGGAAAGTTCTTATCCCCAATTTGTAGCGGGGAACGGTTGCGGGATGGAATGGAGCGGACATCAATGGGATGACGCGCTAAAGTACAGCGCATCTGCACGCCAGCGGCAGGCTGAAACCAAGTGGACGGGAATTTCTAGGCACCCTGCCGGCCTGCCGGCCTGCCGTCATCGCCCACAGGGGCATCCAGCTGGAGATTCCACTTGATTGTGCCCGCTTGAAGTCGATCGATAAGATAAGATGAACCTCCGACTCACACTCGAGCAGCTCTTGGCCGAAACTGAAGCGTCACCGCAGCTCCGCGCTTGCTCACTCCAATTACTACTATCAAGCCGAAGCTTTCTCTTGGGTACATCTGTAGTCACAAGAGAATGTCTGGAATGGTTGAGGACACAGTCGCAATGGCTTCTCTCAACGCCGCCAAACAGCAGATTCGCTCTGCTATGAAGAACAAGCTCGGCGCACTCTCTCACGAGGCCGTCAAGTCACAGAGTAAGACAACTCCATAGACCGCAATGGTACTGCCAGCGCAGACTAAATCCTCAATTGCAGGCTCTGTGGTCTTCAACACTCTGAGGAACTTCAAGCCCTACGTAGACGCCAAACGGGTCAGCGTGTTCCTGTCAATGCCCACGGGCGAGATCCAGACCGATGGCATCGTCAGGCACGCTCTAGAGTCCGGCAAGGAGGTTTTCATCCCGTATCTTCACAAGAACCCTCTGGCCTCGCCCAACCTCCCAGCCCGCGTCATGGACATGGTTCGCCTCAGAGACCTTCACGACTATGAGTCCCTCAAGCCAGACAGATGGGGCATTCCCAGCATCGACCCGGCCACGGTCCATGAGCGGCAGAGGGTGTTTGGAGGTCCCGACGCCCACCACTCCGACCAAACCCTGCTTGACTTGATCCTCATGCCCGGCGTGGCCTTCGACATTGACCCGGAAGCTGGGGCCATTAGACGACTCGGACACGGCAAAGGCTTCTACGACTACTTCATCAACCGGCACAACCAAAAGTCTGTCGAGCTGGGGAAGCAGGAAACCCCTGTATTGCTTTATGGCTTAGCGCTGTCTGAGCAGTTTCTATCCTCTCCGTCCGAGGGGTCGGTACCTGTTGGTCGCCACGATCAACCTCTGGACGGCCTGATACTCGGAAATGGCGAGATTAAGAGCCCTCCTGCACCCAAATAGTTCCATGACCTGATATCCATCCCGTACTGCCTTCCTTTGATCAAATACATATAGTCGACATTCCTGTGCGCCTCGGCCAATCGCTTTTCCCTGGTATCTCTTTTCGTAGATTCGGTGTCGTTTGTTGTGTAGAAGGCCGCGCACCACATCTTTGTGGGCCGTCTATGTACAGCTTTAGATCTGCTGGCTCGTCGCTCGATGTAGGTCCCAGCGTAAATTGCATCATCGATTACCGCTTCTCGTTCAGGTTTTGAGCTCTTCACCCGGAGTAGCTCTGGATGAGCGAGACATTGTCGCCCTTCAGGAGGATTTGCTGCGACCCAGTTAGCCACCCTTTCCACCACCACAACAACATCAACGTCCAGCCCTAAACATGTTCTTACCCCAAGCTCCCTCCTCTCCTCCGTCTCGTTTGTCTTGGAGACCAGCTTGACCTCAATCGCATTATCGATCTGTGGAAATCGGGTTAGGTCTCGTAGTACTAGTGGGACGTGCGCCGCTACTCACCACCAGGTTCATGAACTCGTCGAAGCCCTGTAAGACGGAATTGTCAGCACCTATGTTTGCTCTTCGGGGAGGCCACGATGGAGAATCCTACACGAATGGTGCCGATAATGCGAATGTGGAGCTGCTCGTACAGCCAGATTTGGACGGTCGAGTGTTGTTGCAAAAGACGGAAAAGGAAGTTGATGGGAGGAAGAAGAACACGGCGGTTGCCGCCACCACCTCTGCCGGTCATGTTGAAGAAAGAAGTTTGTTGTGGTTTGGTCGTTTGGCTGTTGTTTAGGACAAAAGTTTGATGGTGATGTGGAGGCTGAAGAAGTAAGTCGCAATCAAGTTGTGGATGGTCGTTGTTGGTCGGCTGGGCTTGGCTTGCAGTTGTTCCCAGACGCGTTCTCTCTACGGCCGGGACGTGACTTCAATGAATTTCCCCCGAATGTCGAATTGCCTGCCTGTCTGTCTCTGGCGTGTGGAGCTCTTCAGTTGTTTTCACAAGCACCCGCCGGGGACCTACGGGACGGGAGCTGCTCAGCTGGCCCGTGCGCTTAATTACATGCTGCTGGGCCCACAGCGTCGTGTCATAACCTCTTGGCATTCGCTCAGCTCAATAAGTTCACTTTTTCCGAGCTGCTTGAACTCTCAAGCCACAGAATCTTCAGTCCGGGGTAGCATGAGCCCCTCCCGCTTGTCCCACTTATGGCGGTGCATGTGCTTCCACTTTCTTTGACCCGCTTCAGTTGCCCGCCGCCGTTTACTCCACTCGCGGTCGGTCGGTGTCAGGCAGCCTGACGTTCTTCGATTGTTGGCGGGATGTTTTTCAATCGTCGTTTCTTTGGACGCTCAAGAGCAAATCGTCGCCGGCAACCTCCAACTTGCAGCAATCCTGTCACCACGGCGGCACCGTACAATACCGCCCAGTCCTTTATTCTTGCAACCTCTCTGGAGCTTCATATACCCCGTGCGCATCGCAGCTCCTCGCCTTTATAACAACATATCCTGAAAGCTTCCATCGCGTCGCAAGACCGATAAGTCGGACAACACTCCTGTCGAATAGGAGGGGCTGATCCATCCACTTTGCGACCTGCGATACCCCAGCGATAGCTTCCACTTGCAACACCGCATCGCAACACTTGCCACCACAACACTTGTATTCGGGCTAAATCACACATCATACACATTTCCAAGCTGCCCAACATGGCTTCTAACGGCGCCGCAGACGGCTTCACCACCCCAAATGTCCTGCAGGCCATGCTGACGATGCGGAGTGGTGACTCCGGTTCCAAGAAGGCCGCCATGGACTACCTGCAAAAGTTTCAGAAGTCGGTCAGTTGGGCTTTCAGCTCTTTCGACGCCAACACACCTATGATTCGCATGTGACTAACCCGCATTTCTCAATCGACTGTAGAACGAGGCCTGGACTACCACAATATCGATCTTGCAGGGCTCTCCCGAAGCCGAGGCGCAACTCTTCGCAGCAACGACACTGAAGGGCAAGGTACAGATACCCATTGGATCACGACGATACCGCTACGCTTGTATGTAGCGCAACGCTGACATTCACGATTCTCAGATTACCTACGACCTCGCAACGCAAATTCCCGAAAGTGAACATGCTGCTCTTCGCAACCAGATCCTAGTCCTCCTCAAGAAGTTCGCCAGTGGCCCCAAGCCCGTCCGAGTCCAACTATGCGTGTGTCTGGCCATCCTAGCCATCCAGATGCAGTCCTGGAAGGATGTATTGCAAACCGTCGTCAGCGCCCTCGGAGATGATGTATCCAGCCACGCCTGCATCTTGGACTTCCTACGAGTACTTCCCGAAGAGGTCACGGAAGGCCGCAAAATCACCTTGTCTGTATGTGGATCGATATGTCGCGGCTCGCCTTTGTCTCCAGTTCGACCAGCCACGTTGGTGGCACCAGCCTGGATCAGAGTCTAATTTGGGATCATAACAGGAAGAAGAGCTCATCCAAAGAACATCAGAACTGCTTGCCGACAACGCGAATGAGGTTGTCGGACTTCTCATCAACTATGCTCAGTCTTCCCGTAAGTATCACTCAAATAACAGCTATACCATGTTTGACTAACATAGCCTCCAGCTGCTGCTGCTACAAACCCCCAACTGTTCGAGTGCATTACCTCATGGCTTCGCGAGGTTCCGGTTACCGTGGTGGTGAACTCGCCTCTTCTTGATGCTGTTATCAATGGGCTTTCCGACGACAGGTCCTTGCAGGCGGCTGCCGAATGCCTTGGCATCATTTGCAGAGAAACCAGAGACGTGGACGATAACCTCGAGACTATTCAGGCGCTCCTTCCCAAGGTCCTTCAGCTAAGGCCGCGCATCCAAGCGCTGGCCGATGAGGAGGATATCGAAGGGTTCAAGGCCATCACCCGAGTGTTCGCTGATGCCGGTGACTCCTGGGTTTTGCTTTGTGCGCGCGAGCCGCAACATTTCCGCCCGTTGGTCGATGCTCTGCTGGAGTGCTGTGCTAGGGATAAGGAAAGGGATGCCATTCATTACACATTCAACTTTTGGTATGAGTTGAAGCAATACCTCACCTTGGATCACTACATCGCAGCTAGGGTACAACTTTTGGATGTCTACTCCAAGCTCGTCGACGTCCTTCTCAAGCAGCTCGAGTACCCCGAATCCGACGACCCCAATGAGTTTGACCTTTTCGATGGAGATCGCGAACAGGAAGAAAAGTTCCGCGAGTTCCGTCATCATATGGGCGACACCATGAAAGATGCCTGCCAGGTAATGGGTACTACGGAATGTCTTACAAAGGTTCACGAGGCTATTAAGATTTGGAGGGAGAAGTTTGGCGGCCAGGCGACAGAGTCAGCAGTGCCTCATTGGCAGTCGCTTGAGGCGCCGCTCTTTGCCCTGCGAGCTCTGGGTCGCCTGGTGGATAAAGAAGAAAACATCGTCCTGCCGGAGATCATGCCTCTGTTGGTCCAAATTCCTGTCAACAACGAGAAGTTGCGGTTTGCAGCCATCATGGTGTTTGGTCGTTATACAGAATGGACATCGGCCCACCCCGACTACCTTCAACCCCAGCTCTCCTACGTTTTGGCGTCTTTCCAGACTCCCTCTCAGGAGATTCTGCGCGCTGCTGCCCAGTCGTTCAAGTACTTCTGCGTCGACTGCAAGCATCTGTTGGGTCCCCAGGCCATCGAGCTGCAAGGCTTCTACAACTCCATCCTTGATACGCTCAGCGACCATAGCAAGGAAGATCTGACCGAGGGTGTAGCGACAGTCATTAGTGTGCAAAAGACGGAGGATATATATAGCCTTCTCAAGCTTTATTGCGATCCTCTAGTCCAACGCCTGATGACCAAGGCCAATAACGCTACCGATGATACCTCCAAGTTGGAGCTTGCTGGTAAGTTCAAATGCCCTGAACTACATACGTACGCCCGAATTGACTAACGCTTTTGCTAGATCACATCAACCTCCTCACCCAATATGTCCAGAACGTCGTGCCATACTGGCCTAGTAACTCGGATAACCCGGCTGTTCGGTACTGGCAAGAAGTGTTCCCTATCCTCGCCACTATCCTGGACAACTTTATCGACTTCGTCCCGATTTGCGAGCGGATTTGCAGATGTTGGCGTTTCATGGTCATCTCTTACAGGACAGCCATTACGCCTCTACTCGGGCCATTGGCCAACAAGCTGGCAGAGGGCTTTGCTAAGTCTAAGCAGGGTTGTTTCTTGTGGGCGTCGAGCGCTATTCTGCGCGAGTTCTCAGAAGACCGAGAACATGTCGAAGATGGCATCGTGGATAGCATTTATGGCTTCTTCGAGGCGCAAGCGACCAATGTCCTCCGCATGATGAGTGACATTGCTCCCATCGATCTGCCCGACGTAATTGAAGACTTTTACCGTCTTCTCATTGACGCCCTTCTTTACTACCCTCAGAGGTTGATCCCATCTCCCCTCTTTACCCCGATCTTCCAGGCTGCCATCTCGGCCTTGTCTTTGGAGAAGCAGGAGCCCGTTTCGGCTGCGCTTCACTATATCCGCGACCTTCTCACCTACGGCGGTGACAACCCCGCCTCATCGAGTCAGCAGTTCGGTGCAGTCGGCGTACAGCTTCGTGAGCACGTCAGGCAGCTCCTGCTCAGCCAGGGTGAGGCGCTCATCAAGCAGACCTTGGCGGGCATGATGATCACATTCCCTCGCGACTGCTTTAGTGACGGTAGTGGTGTTCTGCTGGGCATGTTCGAGCTTCTCCCCGCTGAGACGTCCGCCTGGGTTGACCGCACAATCAGGATGTTGCCAGCCGGTACTATCACGGATGCTGAAGCCAACAAGCTCATGGCCAAGATCAACGAGAAGCTGCAGGGAGGCGATCGTTCGAACATGAGACATGTCAGGACTCTACTGCAAGACTTCACAAACACGTACCGCCGGCGGTATATCGCGCCCAGAGATGGACTCGGCATGTTGACGGCGGCAAGATTTCACTTTGAGGGTTAAGCTGCTGGACTATGGCGTTGTTCGGATTATGGAGATTTGGGGGTTGGATGTAGGACATCGAATAATTGCTTGCTTGGAGGAGCAGAGAGGAGGTGGAAAGAGGTAAAATATTCGGATTTTGAGATACCGGACGATGAACTGGTACGATGGATGTGGAGGATATATGGGGTTTTTCGACCAGGAATGGTTTACGACAAAATAATTAAATGGAATGAAGGTTCGACACGATGAATGGATATGATGGTTTCAGATACAAAATGCCGCCCTGGACGATGAATCACAACCCACAATGAGACGACGGCTATGATGAGATGAGAG